GAGGTGTCCCACCAACCTCCCTTGGACCCGATCCACCTCCCAAGGTTCGGAATGGAAAACGGGTGTGGTGTGTGGTAAAGGTAAACAAATAGGACAGGCGACGGCAATATATAGAGTGTGGCACAGCGGGATACGCTAAAATGGCAGTGCTGTGAGGCTGGCACGAACGAATGGCCAGCCTAAGATAGGTGCAGCTGCGGCAGGGGATGCCTAAACATCTCTGCTGCTGCTATGGCGGGCTGTGCATAGTCCTCCCCTACCACCTCCTCAAGTCCACCACCACCTCCACCCGACCCTTCAATCATAAGTATGCGCTGAGCTGTGCTGAGACAGCTGTGCGGAAGCTGGCGCAACTGAGTGGCTGGCATGGCTATGCTGCAACATAACTTTGGGTTGTAAACGGGTGGTTCGGCGATGTGTGAGGCCTGAGCTGCAGTTGGCTGTAACTGAGGCTTGCTGAGTCAGTGCTGGCTGGCCTTGTTAAAGTGTAGGGTGTCTGTCCTGTACTTGGTTGCATCTAAGTTGGTGGGGCCGCGCCTTGTCGTCCAAAGGGGGCCTGATAGCTGCTGGATGCCACCCCCGCCACCAACCGACTCCCATCCTTTCATAGTGGGTTGCAGTACGGCGCAGAAAAACACTGCTAATACTGACGTAACTAAGTGACCTGCCTACAAACAGGGGTGTAGCTGCATGGGGTATGTATGTACTCGGCTGCTGCTGACAAGCGACGCTTGTTAGGCGGATGGGGGGCACTGCAAATACGAAATGGTGCTGTGATAAGTCATCCACAATGGGGTAGGCCCTGATGGCCCGCCCCCTACTTACTCGCCACAATGGCGGACAAAAGCATACAGTAGTAGACTTGGAGCAGGCGCAGTGGAGGATGATAAAGGAGAAGGGGTAAGCGAGCAGCCGAGCTGTATCTGCTACTTTCGTGCTGGCAACTGCTGAATGTAGGCTAAGGCTGATACCTAAAAATTGCTGGCCTGTGCTATAGCTGTCTGTAACGGTAGCGGTCAGAACAAAACTACGCTGAGACGCTGGCTCAGGCGATATGTGTGGCCGAGATGGTAAGTTCGTTGAGTATGAGGCTTGCACAGTCGGTGTCGGCTGGCCCATGGCCTTGCAATTCAGGCTATCTCGTTTGGAACTTGCATGCAGCTACATTGATGGGGCCGCGCCCTGTCGTCCAGGGGGGCCCGACACGCTGCATGGTTTCAGTCGGGCGTGTCCCCCTGCAGGCGGATTTGAGAGGAAAGAAACAATAGTCAAAATATACCCAACAGTGCTCACAAATAGTAGAAAATCGTCCCAAAACTATGTTGTGACTATTTTTTACTTTTCCTCCTGTAGAGGGACAGGCCCGACTTAACGCACGGTGCATCTCACTCCCCCTCCCGCTCCAAAATTCCAAATCATCCCCATCCTGTAAGATAGAGAACCCTTGACTCGTGTCGGTTAATATCAAAGACGTGGCAGGATAAACAAAACCTTGGTGTGCCAAGTGCATGCTGCAATTATTGGGCTGCTGTCCAAGGTTTTGCCAGTTCACCACGAACCTCCTCGGCACCAGGACCTCCGTTTCTTTTCCTTATAGATCACTCCTCCTTGTCGCACCCCGGGACCGGTCGAAAGGGCAGGCGGGGCGTTTCGCCTGAAACTTCTTCACAATCTATGATCAGTAAGCTTGAAATGTAGAACAAACTCACGGATGGAAGGCGGCCCGTTTTCGAAATGCGGCTCTCGCCCCTGCGCCGCGTACATTCGTTTTCAAAGTTTGCAAGAGTTCCACTTTAACGTCGCGCACAATCCTTTGACAATGTTCACCAGGGCTTCACGGATGGAGGGCGGCTCTTTTTCAAAATGTGGCTCTCGCCTCAGCGCCGCGCACATTCGCTTCAAAAGCTTGCAGGTTTTTTCCGGATGGAGGGCGGTTCCAATTTCAAAATATGGCTCTCGCCTTAGCGCCACGCACACTCCTCGTAAACATGTGCAGCAGGCCCAAGGATTTTCATGGTCAACGTCTCAAAAATCGCATGTGGTCACGATGATGCCAGGGCGCAATGATCTACTGGACTCGCGGTGTTGAAATCCTAGGAATGGTGTTCTGGCACGGTTGAGGGTCGTCAAGGCGCACCAGTAGCGGTGATTCGCGGCGTTGAAGTCCCAGGAATGAAGTTCTGGTACAGTTCTGGATGTTCAAACGGTTGTCTTTCAAGGGAGAACTTCCCTCAGTGAAAATGTCTGTGTAGGAGCCTGTGAAGAGAGAACGTAGAGAGAGGATTTACTAGAGTTTTCACTAGTCCTTCCTTCTATTCTTCCTCCTCCCTTATCCTGCTCCTCATCCTCCTCATCCTTCTTTCATTCCTCCCTCCTCCTTGACTCCCCCCCTCATCCCCTTGTCCTCTTGCTCCTCTCTCCTCCTCCTCCTCCTCCTCCTCCTCTTCCTCCTCCTCCTCCTCCCTCTACTCCTTTTCCTCCTACATTTCCTCCTCCTCACCCTCCCTGTTCCCTCCGCCTCCTCCTCTTCCACAATTACACGTTCTGGATACTACTCCCCTCTCTCCCCTGACTCTGCCTGGAAGATCGTCGGCCCTTTCCGCTTTGTGTTTCTCACACGCAGCAGGAATTCAACCACATCTATTTTCTGTGCGCGTGTGTTTGCAATCCGACTGTTTTCGGTATTGCAAAATGGTGCCCCCGCTGCAGCGTGGGCCTCCATTTTCAGATCGTCGCTTCAGGAAGGCGTCGGCCACTTTTCTGGATCCGAGGCCATTTTCATCGTTGTCGCCCCCCTTTCCCTTCCTCCGCCGTCCCCTGGTCCTCCTGCTTCTCTCCACCTTCCACTCCTGCTCCTGCTGCTCGTCCTCGTCATCTTCTTTCCTTGTCATCCGCCTTTTCCTCATGCTCGCCCTCCTGCTCATCCAACACTTGCTTCTCCAGTGTAAGCAGCTCGTGCGCACAACACGCTTAGGTGCTCTTTGGAATTCCAGGTCCGCTGTGACAGTCGGCGGCGGATAGTAGGACAAAAAACGATGGAAAGATGGGAGGGGCAGGATGTCAGATGTGGCGCGAGCACAGCTGGCGGGTCCTGCTCCTCTCTCCTCTCTCCAGGGAAACCCAAAGATACCACCGATACCGCTACTCCACGGCCCTCTCCTAGGGTGCGTTCTGACCAGAATTTCGAAACGAATCCAGCGATGGCGACGAGGGCCTCCCAGGAGGCCCCCCAAAAAGGAGAACGAGCCGAGGGTAGTGGTAAAGGTACACCGGATTTCGTTTGAGGGACCGTGTCTTGAGTAGAGGGCAGAAAATCCACCTCGATAATAACCACCCCGACACGCGAAGCCGTTTCGTAAACGCACCCAAAGAAGGAATCTAACAGGGCAGGGCTGTTTCGTAAACGCCCAGGGCCGTTAAGTAAACGCTAATTGTCCGGTCTGAGTTGTTTTTCCTCCCTTGATTGACATCCCACGTCACCCTGACCCCTGGCGCGCGAAAGAACGGGCCCGGCAATCGCCCCCCCTGCTCCGTCTCCAAGACATCCAGGACAGCTAGGAAATCCGGGAAATCCGGCGACGACTTCTAAACTGACACACTCGCGTGGGCTTACCTGCCCCGATACGCAACACGCAACACGTAGCGTATTGATACGGAGCTCAACACGTAGACTGAACACGCACGTTTTGGACACGGACGTTTTGAACACGGCACGTGCTTCGTTTCAAAACGTGCGTATCAGAGCAGCCAAGCGCGTGGAACATCCTCACAAAACTGCCCCCCCGAGCCTCCCCAAGGAGGCCCTCCAAGGCTCCTTTGTTACGTTTCTCAGAAAACCGGGAACCCCTGCGACGAATTCCAAACCGGCGCCTTCGCGTGAGCCATCCTCCGAAGACCAGCCTCCCGAGCCTCGCGCGCTGGGGCGCACTGGGCGTGTCCCAGTCTGGGGCCCTCGCTCGAGACGTCCTCCCCAAGTCGACCACCGCACGCGAGAAAGTCAGGCCCGCGCCCCGAAGACCATTTCCGGAGACCTGTAGGCGCGCGCCGAGGCGCGCGGGGGCGCACCAAGCGTTTCTCGTAAAATCCTCGCAAAAGTCGACCCATCGGCGTGTCCCAAATCGGGGGCCCTCGTAAAATCTCGACTGTTGCGAGACATCCTCGCAAAAGTCGACCCTGGCGTGTCCCAATCGGGGGCCCCCGCTCGCTCACACTCTCCTCCCGCCCAGCGCAGTCCTCACCCGCTGCGCCACCGCCTCCCGCCCATTCTCCTCTCGCTCACAAGCACACGCCCCTGCTTCTATATACAGATACCCACGATGCATGTAGAGCGGCCAGCTAATAATACTGTAAGGGGGTGTGGCCACAACCCTCCCAGACGAGTAAATTGAGACCCCCCGGGAACCTCCAAGACAGCTCGAGTCACCCCCCCCTCCGAATCAGATCCCAGCCATTTTCTCGCCATCGCTGGGACGTCCATCCCCCGTGCATTTTTCGGATCCAGGATGCTCCTCGACGGTCCTCACCGAGAAAAATACTCACACGTCCGAGCGATGCCAAGTTTTATTTTGAATTTCTGAATACATCTTCCTCCTCCCCTGAGATCCGACGCTGCAAACAAATTACAACATAGTCAAAAGATCACGCCCGGACCCCCGGACCCCATGTTTCACCGAAATTGTTCGAGCCCGATCGATCTGTGAGGGTCCCGGGGCCCGACGCCGAGCGAAAATGCCGTTGGGAAAGAATTGCAGCGCCAGGACCTCAGGGTCTGACTCTCCTCCGCCCAAGGGGCAGCGAGACTGAGGTCGGGCGTGCCCCCTGCAGGGGGATTTTGGACGAAAAATCAAACATACCAAAAAATACGCCAAAAAAATAATGAATATAAAAAAACATGTTTTTAAACAAAAGAATACCCAAACAATCGTCCCCGCACGATTTGCTTGACTATTTGTTTGAATACTCCCCCCGTAGAGGGACACGCCCGCCTTCAAGCGAGGCACGCGCAACCCCTCCTTGGCGGCTGGCGCGCCCCACAGGCCCAGGGCATCCAGCACCTGGCGCCCCCACGCCGCGTCCTCAGCGCCGCCGGGGTCTCTCCCGGGGCGGGTGGCTCCGCGGGGGTCCTCCTCCTCCTCCTCCTCCTCCTCCTCCTCCTCCTTCTCCTCCTCCTCCCCCTCCTCCTCCTCCACCTCCACCTCCACCTCCTCCACCTCCACCTCCTCCTCTTCCTCCTCCTCCTCCGCCTCTTCCTCCTCCTCCTCCTCCTCCTCCTCCTCCTCCTCTGGGGGGGGACCTACCCTTCGGTCGGGCACGTCCTCCTACAGGCGGATTTTGGAAGCAAAACTGAAAAATAGTCAAAGCATGTTCAAAAATTGTAAAAACACTGATTGAAAAATCGTCTCCAGACTACTTGTTTACTATTTCTGAACATTCCTCACGTCAAGGGACATGCCCGACTTGCGCCTACCCTGAGATCCTGGCGCTGCAACATGTCTTTCACGATGGGCATTTTCGCTCGACTTCGGGCCCCGTGACTCTCATAGATCGATCCGACTCCGCGGGGCGGGAGGCTGGGACAGCATCGGACGCTGTAGGCCTCGGGACCAGAGCGTGGTCAGCGTGTCGCGCCGAAGCGTGGTGGGCCAGAACCGTCGGCCGATACAATGAACCCGTATCATAAGGATGCGCGGTAAGGATGCAATGGCCTTGGAGGCCCACGTGAACGATTTCCGAACAAGGTTGGAACGGGATCGGACGCTGGACGCCGCGGGAACAGAGCGTGGTGAGCGTGCCGCGCCGAAGCGTGGAGCAATCGGCGCGATGCGCTGAGCCAAAGTTCCTGGCCGTACAGCCCGAAGTATGGAAGACGACTTCTTGCTAGACGGAGCTCCCGCCTGAACTCTGGGCCCGTGGGGCGCCCGTCGTCCAAGGAGCCCCCTTCGCGCAGTGGGCAGGACTGCTTGCAGGAGCGAATCGCGCAGTGAGTAAGAATGCTTGTGGGAATTGACCGTGAAGGGAATCGGGGCGGGCGGGTGTGTGCAGGGTTCATGTACGTGCTGGGTTTCCTCTGGTTCTCCTCCTCTTCATCCTGCGCCATCCATCTCCTCCTCCTCCTCCTCCTCCACTTCCTCCTCCTCCTCCTCCTCCTCCTGCTAGTCCTCCTCACCCTCCTCCTCCTCCTCCTCCTGCTTCTCCTCCTTCTCCTCCTCATTATCATCATCCCCATCCCCATCCCCATCCCCATCCCCATCATCATCATCATCATCATCATCATCATCATCATCATCATCATCATCATCATCATCATCGTCATCAGCAGCATAAGCATCATCATCACCATCATCAACATTATCACTTTAACCATCATGAGCATCAGCATCTGCATCATCCTCATCCTCACCATCATCATCAGCATCATCATCACCATCGTCATCATCAGCAGCAGCAGTATCATCATCCTCATCAGCATCATCGTCATCCGCATCATCATCATCATCATCATCATCATCATCATCATCATCATCACAATTATTGCCACAACCATCAACGTCACCATCACCTTCTTGTTCATAGTCACCATCATGATCAGCAGTACCACCATCAGCATATTCATCATTATTATCACCATCATCATAATCATGATTCTCATCATCATCCTCAGCATCACCATCACCATATAACAATCATCACCACCACCACCGCCACCACCATCACAACCAGCACCACCACCACTACCACCACCATCAGCATCAACATCACCACCATCACCATCGTCATCAGTATCATCAGTATCATCAGCATCAGCATTACCATTATCGGCACCATCATCACCACCATCATAATCGTCATCGGCATCGTCATCATTATCAGCATCATCAGCATCATCACCATCATCGTCATCACCACCACCACCATCATCATCAGCATCACCATCACCATTATCATCATCAGCATCATCATCACCACCACCATCATCACCAGTGTCAGCATCATCATCATAATCATCATCATCATCATCATCAACATCATCATCGTCACCATCATCACCGTCATCAGCGTCGTCGTCAGCGTCGTTGTCGTCATCGTCATTATCGTGGTCGCCGCCGTCGTCGTCACCAATTTCCCTCCTCAATACTACCCTCTTTCCCCTTTCCCCCTCTCCCTCACATTGTCAATATCACTCGCTTTCTCCTGTTATAGTTCTCTTTCTCTTTCTCTTTCATGTTCTTGTTTGTCTTCTCTCTCTCTCTCGCTCTCTCTCTCTCTCTCTCACAGACACTCTATCTCTCTCTCTCTTTTTCTCTCCCTATTCCTCTTCCTATATTTTTACAAGCCAGGGGGGTGGGACCCCCCCCCTCCCCCAAAACCGAGCCCCCAGAACTCAGGGTTTCCGGGCCCCCCGGGCATCCTTGCCACAGGTCCCTCGGCTCGTCCGGGACCTCCAGGGCGCCTAGCTGGGTCTTGCCAGCAGACCCCAAGCGATCAAACCGGTGATCAGAAAGGCCGAAGATAGACCCAAGACAGCACAAGAGCGCTCCAAGAAGGACCCAAATGGCCCCAGAGAGGCCACCAAGACGGCCAAGGAGGCCCTCAACCGGACTTCCAGAACGTAGAACTCGCTTCATTCCCGTTGGGAAACGTACAATTTCAGCATATTCGCTGTTCGGGTCTTCGCAGCGTCCACAACAACCAGAAAGGCATACAGTGTCGCCCCAAGACGACCCAAAACGCCCCCAAGAGCGCCTCTAGACGGCCTGGATGGCCCCAAGACTGCCCAAGGAAGCCGCAAAAGAGCCAAACAGAGGCCCAACTTGCCCCCAGAAGGCGCCCAAGAGAATCCCAAGAAGGCCCGGGATGCCCCCAAAAAGGCGATGGTAGGCCACCAGGAGAGCCTACGCAGCTCAAGACTGCCCAAGGAACCCCCAAAGGAGCTTAAAAGAAACCCAAGAGGCCTTCAGAAGGCTCCCAAGAGAAGCCGAAGAAGACACGGGGGGCCCCCAGAGAGGCCATGGGAGGCCACCAGGAGGGCCTACGTAGCCCCCGCAATGTTCCTAAAGGATCCAAACTCCCTAACACGGCCCAGGATGGCCCTAGGACTGCTCATCAAAGCACCAAGCCGGGCCGCCTGGGCTCCAACAAGACCAACACAGAGTTCTCCGTAAAACTGACCCGAATCCTAGGTTCGCAACCACATTTCCCGAAAATCTGTTGCGAACCCGGGATTCGGTCCATTCCTTACGAATTACTAATGTTCGCGTGCCCAGTTGCGACCCGCTGCGACATGACATCCTCGGCTTGGCATTGCTTTGTACTTTGCAACATTGCTTGACATTGCGTCCATTTGCTTGGCATTCCCTCCCCCTGCTCCTCCGGGCCCTCCCTCCTCCACCTCATCATCATCATCATCATCATCATCATCATCATCATCATCATCATCATCATCATCATCATCATCATCATCATCATCATTCTTATCCTCATCATCATCCTCATCCTCATCCTCATCCTCATCCTCATCCTCATCCTCATCCTCCCCCTCATCCTCATCATCCTCCTCCTCCTTCTCCTCCTCCTCGTCATCATCATCCTCATCATCATCATCATCATCATCATCATTATCATCCTCATCCTCATCCTCATCCTCATCCTCCCCCTCATCCTCATCATCCTCCTCCTCCTGCTCCTCGTCATCCTCATCCTCATCATCATCATTATCATCATCCTCATTCTTATCCTCATCCTCATCCTCATCCTCATCCTCGTCCTCATCCTCATCATGCTCATCATCCTCATCCTCCTCCTCCTCGTCATCATCATCATCACCATCATCATCATCATCACCATCACCATCACCATCACCATCATCATCATCATCATCATTATCATCATCATCATCATCATCATCATCATCATCATCATCATAATCATCATCATCTTTCTGCCGCTCCACCACGCGTCCTCCCACACATCCGCTTCCTTCCCTGGCTCCCCGACGTTCCCCCCCTCCTATCCTTCGCTCTCCACCCAGCGCCGTTCGGGGGCCCCTGGAGGCCCCGGAAGGGCCAAGGACCACCCGAACTTTCGAATATTTCTCCAGAGAAGGGGTCAAATGTCTGCGGCCAATGGGGATGTCGCGAACGACCAACAGATGCAAAGCCTCAAGGACCAAGGTGCATGGCGCGAAGCGCCAATGCAGTCTCGTGTATGTATGTATGTATGTATGTATGTATGTATGTATGTATGTGTGTGTATGTATGTATGTATGTATGTATGTATGTATGTATGTATGTATGTATGTATGTATGTATGTATCCATGTATGTATGTATGCATGTATGTATGTATGTATGATGTCTGTATCTGTGTATGTATGCATGCATGCATGTATGTATGCATGCCTGCATGCATGCATGCGTGCGTGCATGCATGTATGCATGTATGTATGCGTGCATGCATGCATGCATGCATGCATGGATGTATGTATGTATGTATGTATGTATGTATGTATGTATGTATGGTGTATGTATGTATGTATGTATGTAAGTATGTATGTAAGTATGTATGTATGTATGTGTATGTATGTATGCATGTATGTATGTATGTATGTATGTATGTATGTATGTATGAATGTATGTATGTATGTATGTATGTATGTATGTATGTATGTATATATGTATGTATATATGTATGTATGTATGTATGCATGGCTGTGCGTTTGTTTGTATGCATATGTGCATGTATGCATGTACATATGTGTATGTGTATGTATATGTATGCATGTATGTATATAGGTATGCATGTATGTATGCATGCATGTATGCATGCATGTATCCCTCCCTCCCTCCCTCCCTCCCTCCCTCCCTCCCTCCCTCCCTCCTCTCTCCTCTATCTCCCCGCCTCCTCCTCCTCCCGTCAGAACGGTAGGACTTCCTGACACGCGAGGAGGTCGAATTTCCGAGGCTGAGGTTTTGAACCCTCTGGGCCCCCTCCCGAGCCCTCCCCTCCACTCCTGATCTTCTTTCTGAGGAGGAGGAGGAGGAAGAGGAGG